TGTCCAACTGGAGTCCAATGTGTCTCGCTGATCCCAAGCACCTCTAAGATGTATCTCCTCATTTCTGCAACAATTTGGAAAGCTCTCCCGGTGTCCCACATTGTACGAACATTCCATGTACCTAAATAAATGGTTGCTCTGGTTGTCAGAAGGAGCATCGGCCTCGTGGCTTCCGAAATAATTCGGCTTTCATCATGAGGCGTCATAATTCTTTTAAATGAAAACCTCCTGACTCCCGGGGCAGAGTTCAAAAAATTTGAATAATTTTTTTAGTTAGCGTTTTTTTAGCGATTTATTTTTCTACGGGATGGGGTCGTTAACCCCACGTCCAACCCTCCTCCTTTATCCGGGCTTGGGACCGACAATAGCCGCCGGAGGGACTCCAGGCGGAGTTTCATGCCTAAAATAACTACGCTTATTTCAACGTTATCCAATTATTCGTATCATAAAATTTCGTCATATTAATGGATTAGAAATTTTTCACATAAAACGTAAAAGTACTGTAATATAAAGAGATTAATTTCAGAGTTGATTTCTCTCTTAAATCAGTTAACTTATTTTTAAAAAATTTTTGTTATCTGGCTGGGTAATTGTGCTTAGTGAAGTGCCCCAGGGTGCAGTTTTGGGGCCATTGCTATTCCTCTTGTATGTAAATCACCTTCCGTGTCTTCTATCATCATCGGTCTTGCTATATGCTGACGATGCCAAGATATGGAGAACGATACGATGTAAGAGTGATAGCTTAGAACTCCAAAATGACTTGAAATTATCTGAATGGTCTCAAACCTGGCAGTTGCCGATAAATACTTCCAAATGTGTTGTAATGCATATCGGTCATCAAGGTACAAATACATACACGATAAATGACACTGAGCTACCTGTCGTCCAGACATACAATGACTTAGGAGTCATCGTTAGCAAAGACCAAAAGGCTACTGCACACTGCTGTGCAATAGCCGCCAAAGGTTTTAGAACCTTACGGTCAATACGTAGGGCTTTTATTCATGTCGACACTAAGACGTTTTTGACATTGTATACTGTGTTTGTATGTCCTAAGCTTGAGTACTGCATACAAGCGGCCAGCCCCTGCTTTAAAAAAGACAATGAGCTTCTGCAAAAGGTTCAGAGAACGACGACTAAGCTGATTCCCGGAATAGCGAAGCTTCCGTATGAAGTTCGACTGGCCAAGCTGAACCTTTTCCCGTTGTCAAATTGCAGAACTAGAGGCGACTCGATTAGTCTTCAAATTGCTTAGTGCCAAATTTGCACCTGATATGCCCTCATTTTTCTTGTCTTCCAAAACAGAGAATTTACGAGGACACTCCAAAAAAGTTCACAAGCCAAGAACAAATTACTTGTCAACTGACTATCGACTTTCCCATCGAATCATCAACGAGTGGAATTCATTACCTCAGCACGTGATTGAGGCTCCATCCGTCGACTCTTTCGAAAGAAAGTTGAATCAACTGAGAGACCACCATGGCGAGGAATAACATAGGTCATCAAGTCTCCTGTCCTTACCAAATTGAAACTGAAACTGATTGTTTGTCTTCAACTTACAGTTCAGTTGATTTCCCTATTATTTGATAAATGTAACTTTGAATCAAATGACAATACTGAATTGGAAGTTAACATTATTTCGAGTGGTGAAATAGATCCCCTTTCTCCAAAAATTCATTTGTACTGGCATATAATAATTCTCGACAGCGTCCAAATGGTTATAATGAAGTATTTTTTCTTCGAAACGTCTTCGTAAACTGTTCATTTCTTTCAGTATTGTTTCATGATTTTCGATCAATAAATCAATTGGCTCACGAGCATTACGTGTTTGTCATTCCATACGGGTTTATGATGCTCTCAAAGAAGGTTTTGATATTTCAAGTTTTCTTCTAGAAAACCGACTTGATTAAAGCGTATAGCCTAACGTCCATGTCTGCTGCCAACATTTCTAAAACCACTATCATCACACCTTTCGACCTTTATGAATTTTGGTGCATGCATTTCCGCTTAAGAAATGTTGCACAAATATTCTAGAGATTCATAGACGACGTCTTTCGTGGTCTCAACTTCCTACACACATACGTAGATGACTGTTCGATCGCAAGTCCTAATAGAGAATCTTATCTCCATCATTTGTACCTCGTTTTCGATTGACTTCGAAAACACGACAGTACTGTAAACACTAGGAAATGTCAAATCTGCACTGACTCTCGAGATTTTTTATAACATATTATTTATGCTCAAGGCATCCGACCTCTGAAAAGAAAGGTGGCCACCATCCTGGATTACCCAGAACCGACCGTAATCAAGCAACTACGCACGTTTAACGCTTAGTGAGTTTCTACAGATGGTTCATACCAAATTGCGCGTTCCTTATGAAACCTTTAACCTACTGACTTCGTAAAAATCCGAAATCCACACATTTGGACGACATTACGAAAGAAACATTCTCCACAGTTAAGGAACTGACCGCCAAAGCAACTTTGCCCGCACACAGGGACACCGAAGCATACATTGGTGTCGCAGTAGACGCATCCGACTCGGTAATCAGAGTAGTCTTACAACAGTGGATAAGCAACACCAAGTAATCATTGGCATTCTTTCCCAGACGATTGCTAGACTCCGAATCGAGGTACATTAGTTTCGGAAGAGACCTCTTAGCCACGTACAGCACTGTACGGCACATTCAACACTCTGTTGGAGGCCATGCATTCACACTTTGAACCGAATACAAACCTCTTAGATGCTCTTTAAGCTCCTTTTCAGACAAGTATTCACCACGTGAGTCTTGACAACTGAACTACATTTCACAGTTCACCTCAGACATTCAACACAATTCTGGAAACAAACAAAGTAGTTGCAGACTCCTTGTCTCGCATAACATCCTTGAAAGGTTTTCAAGGAATCGACCTTCTTAAACTCGTTCAGCTTCAAAAAGAAGATATTGACCTTCAGCACGATTTATCCTGAACAACCCTTAAGCTGCGCATCAAACAGATGGGAACAGGTAAGGAAACCTTACTGTGTGACACATCTACCGGTAGGGATCGTTCAATCGTGCCGAAACATTATCGACACAATGTCTTCAATACATTGCACAAACTTTCTCATCCAGATGTTCGTGCAACCATCAAGCTTATAGCAGAACGGTTTCGCTGGCCTGGCATGAATAAAGACGTGAGGGAGTGGGCACGCTCCTGTGTAAGCTGCTAAAAATCTAAAGTTATCAGACACAACAAATGTCCCTTAGGCTCATTCAAAACACCCGATGCTCGTCCCGACTACATTCATCTGGATTTGGTAAGACCTTTAACAGATTCAATTGGATACTCTTATCTCTTATTCTGTGTAGAACGTTTCACTCGATGGCCAGAAGCAGTACCTATCAAAGACATCACTGCTGAAACATTGGCTCGCGCGTTCGTTGGGCGATGGGTAGCAAACTTGGGTTGCCCTTCAACCATCACTCGAGATCGTGGACGCCAGTTCCAATCTGAACTTTTCCGTTGTCTGACCACACTATTAGGAATCACTTGCTTCTGAACGACCGCTTACCACCCACAAGCGAACGGCTTGATAGAGCGCTTTCACCGGCAGCTAAAATTTTCCCTATCGGCTGCAAACATTTCACAGTGGACCGATGACCTATTTGTCTTACTTGGTATCCGCAAAGCAGTGAAAGCTGACATCGGATACACTGCAACTCAACTCGTTTGTGGAACGATACTTCATGGATTCTTTGTCTTTTATGAATATGGATCTAAACTTCTACACGAGTAGTCTTACGAACGCAATGCGTTTATTTAGATCTGTTTCCATTCGACCGCAGACAACTGATGTTTTCGTTCAACCTGAGTTACGATATAGTACACACGTTTTCGTTCGTTGAGACTCACATCGAATCAGCATACGAGGGACCTTTCAAAGTTCTTCAACGTATTTCGGCATTCACTTACATATTTTTTATTTTCCAGGACGGCTGGAAAATACGATAAAAAGAACGATTAAGTTTAGAAGGAACTGAAATTTTCATTACGCTTTGTTTTTTTATTACTGTATTTTACTGCATGGTCCCTTATAGTAAATAAAGGCAACCAAATGCTGCTAAACCTAGCAAGCTATCAGAAGAGTGTTTACCAACGACAAACTCGATGAGTTTAAACTTCTGACTGGCCACGTCCTAGGGTCATCACCACCCCACTAGAGAAGGGTTGGTCTTTAGCGGTAAATAAATCCCCAAAATAAATAGCTCTGTAAGGTTTCGATATTGGATGTTGACCACATTAGTTTTAACGGACTCACTTTGGGGAAGTGGGCTTATATTTATTAATGAAACCCCAAAATTTTTCGCAATTCTGAAGAGATTTTGCGTCTTTCCCCAAAATTTCCCCTAACTTTGGGAAACGCTAATTTGCTTTGGGTATTTCCACACAATTTCCCCAAAGTTGGGAGCTTGGGTATCATAAAAAGAGTGGCATGAAAAGCTGGACCTCCTTACTGTGATCTGTCGCAAACTAAAGAGGGAACTAATTTTGATGCAAAGAACATTAAGAAATGAGTTTGGACCTAACATCTTCTCTTTTTTTCTTCCCACTAGATCTGGACATCTCAGAGGACATAGCAGGCGAGTTAAAAAACCAAGAACGAACAAAAAACCCATGGTATACAGGTTTTCACACTAGGTCATCAATACTTGAAACCTGTTGCCCGAAGCAGTGGTGTCCACACCTTCAATTGACTCACTGAAGAGAAGACTGGACACTTACAGAAGCATACTAGAAAAGGTACATATTCCTTTGTAATTCCTATGTTATAACATAGGCCATGTGCCTTCAGTCTTTACTACACAAATCATAAAACAAAAATGACATATTGAAGTTGTTTGAATGCCACACTTTACAATCTAAACTCATGTGATTTCTTTTTACAGATTACAGCTCATTTTTCTACTCATCCAATTTGTCACTTGAAGGACGTCAGGTCTTAGCGCATCCGAAACATGACGCTACCGACCCCGTTCCTGATCGTTAGATTGCTTTAATCGCAAACTTGGGTTATATCTTATTGTTGTCGATTACTTTTCTAATTAGCTGTAATTGCATTCTATTTACTTACCGGATCGTCTCACTTTTTCTCCTGTTCTTTCATCCCTACGATTCGAAGTCTTACGCTAACTGACAAAAATGCCTTCCGAGCAAACCTTGCATTGGTAACATTGAAGCCCATTTTTGACCAGTTTGACGATAGGACTTACCACATAATCTTCAACAGTTTTATTTGTCCGCATTTAGAATAGTACGTACTCCCTCACTCCAAAAGGATAAGGACACTGCAGCGTATCCAACTACGAGCCACGAAAACATTTCGGGGACTCAAATTCAAGCCTTATGAATAGCGCCTCCGATCACTAGACCTTTACTCATTAGAGTATAGGCGTGTTAGAGGTGACCTTCTAATGGCCTACAGTATTCTTAAAACCTCTGGACATCCTCTTAAACACTTAAGCTTAGCTCCAACACAAACCTAACGGGTAACACCCAGGAAATAGAAACACAACACAGCAAAACGGACTGTAGACATAACTTTACTCCTTTAGAGTAGTCAAATGCTGGAATTCGTTGCCGACTGAGCCGGTGCAAGCGACTTCCCGGGAGTACTCTAAGAGGCAACTTGACCTATTCTTAAGGACTAGGGATAATATCTTACTATGATTTACAAATGTTTTCCCCTTTTATCAAGAATATACATAGGTTCCTGCTTGGAGATATTGATGATCCACTGCTACTAGGCACGGAAGCCCGTTAAGTGAAAGCTTCTATTCTGTCCACAACCATTTGAACTATTTATAGATTCGCACACCTCCCTTTCTCATTTAATACGAGGAACCTTCAGGCTAGACACAAGCCTACCGAAGTCTGGCCGTCACATCGCAGTATGTTTTCTTGTTCCACACATCTCGTTCTTAGTTATTGAGAATGCTTCAGTGTAACACTTGAAAACAAGAAAAGATCTAACTGACGGCCTCATAAACCTGATAATATCAGTCATTCAGTTACAACGTAGCACCAGGTACATACATGCATTGGCCCGAATTGCCATACCTCATTAGTACCGAATTCATAGACTTAGTTACTTCAGTGGTAGCAATGTATATATATATATATATAAAACGATTGTATTTAGAGATATAAAACAGGAAGAAAAAATAAGTTCGTAGAAATAGAGATATAAAGCATTTTAATCTCATGGAAAGATAAAGAGTGTAATATGGCAACAAACCACTGAATCCCCAGTACTTCTGTTTTTCCTTCCCGTTTTCTGGTCGAAAACTGGTTTAGTTAATTAGAACGAAACTTTATGATAAATGTAGGGCTAGTTGCGTCACTGTATCGGTACAAAGCATAATATAAGAGTTCGATAAAACCTGATCTTTACTATGCACATAAATTCACTTTCCTTCATAGATATATAATATTAATGATAAATATAATTTTAAAGAAACATGTGCAGCGTCTTATATTTGTCATTTACTCATATCGACTCCTTCCAACTATCTTAATAAATACATTTCACCAACATATTCAATCACTTAATTTTTACAAGGTTGTGTTCGCATTTAGGTCTAAAGTTTGACGTGATTTACTAGTCATGGAAAATTGTCTTACTTCCGTTAAGCTACAGACTAATGTTTGCAGTTTGGCAAGCTTAATCTCAGTAATAAAATGTTCTGTCAATAATCTTTATTTTCATGTTTTTAGATCTCTTCAAATTAATTTTATCGTTTGACGTAAAATATGAATAAGTCGGTTGAACGTGCTGAAGGGGTTCTCGTTTATAACCCTAAAACTGTACCTCATGGTGCCATACAGTTAAATCCTTCTGAGGCACTTGCTCTGCGTCTTCAAATAATCAATTCATGGAACAAACCTCTAGAAGTGTTACCTCTTAAGTTTGGAGGAGAAGCAGTAACAGTAGCTACCTTTTTCTCAAGTTTACTTGTAACTTATCGCTCAAGATCGTTTTTTAATATGTTCACTAGAGTTGGACTTGCTTTGTCTTTGGTTCCATGCGTATTTCTTCCTACTGGCATTGCACACCACTGTTTTACCCGTTTTGTTTCTAATCAAATTCTTGTTGGACCCTCTAATTCAATGTTATATCCTGACTGTAGTATTTGCTTACAAATACGTGAAGCTCTAATAATGGTGAGTTATCCTGTTCATAACCTTAACATAATTATTTTAGAGATATTTCTCCGTTCTTACTTAGCTACATATTTCGTGTTTATGTATTTCTTGCACGTATAGTTTGTTCTGCTTCTTAGACCAAGTGCTGCCAGTAGCTTACTGTCCATATGATTCATTTTCCAAGATATTGATTCAAAATCATAAGTGTAAACACATACCATCAAGTTTCATTGAAACAAAATTCACATTTAATGGGTTGGCTAAGCAAAAGCTGTATCTCTAGAAGATTTTACCTAGTGTTCTAATTGTTCGTGTCCTGTTAACCGTACCAATGAGGTGTGGTTCCTCAGAGTATAATCTTTAATTCCTTGGTTTAGTAAATTAGTTTATAGGTTGAAAAGTAATAACTTTTAAAAGCTGTCACGTTTAATTAATCCCTCTTTTAAAATATGGCAGTGAAATGCCAACTCACAGAGAAATACGTAACCATTGATAAACACAAATTTACTACAGGTGTAACGTTTTCGAATAATTGGTCGATATAACTAAATTAGTTTACTAATTTAAAATCAATCTTCCCTTATTGCAAAACAGGGTTTTTGATATGTTATGATTAATTTTCGGTCGTGAAAGTGATGGATGGAAAGCCAGTTAGTAAGTGATGAACTCTAGTACAAGGTGGTCATGTATAATTTATGGTGACTTGACAGCTAAACCTAACTCGGTTTCATATTTGGTTGCAACGGATGCTGCAGCCACTTCGCTTACATCAATCAATTCGGGACAATGAATTAGTTGGTCAGTGAAACGTAGGATAAGATTGGTGCAAACCAAGACATGATCAGAGTCCAGGTACACACTGCAAAAATGGCCAGTCTTGTACACAACCACACCAGCGGCAGCCGATCTTAATGCGGTTAATCTGAGTCCAGACTTAAGTTATATAGGGAGGACACCAGGCAGTACATCGCTGATGACTATACCAAAAGTCGGTTCTACCCAGAAACACGTGGTCTGCGGAAAACGATCGCCGTTATCTGACCTGCAACCAACGAGTATCCATTAGCCACCCAGATAACTTTCCTCTGTATCCAGACACCTGACCTTCCAATTTAGATCTCTAGCTAGCGCTAAAATATATGTTGGACGCGCTTTACTGCGATCATTTAATTTGTAGCAGAATTGATACTTAGTCGCATCTGTGCTACAATCTGTCGGAGTGTAGGCAGAGATAACAAGAAATTGTTTTCACACCGATTCTGCCTCACTTTATTTATTTATTTGAACACATAAATATTGGTACAAGAGAGCGCCAATATATATGCGCCACACAAAACAATAAGAATTCGAAGAGAAATAGAAAAAAAAGAACAATAACGAAGAGATTGGTGTAAGGTAGTATGGTAGAAATGAGGGAACGGAAAGGTACAATCAGAAGAAATCTTTCAGGTAAGGGAGACACAACCACTTTTTATGAAGAAAGTAAAAGAAGATCACAGCAGGATCGCCACTGGCTTCTATTCTGAGCCATATCTGATAACGTCTCTAGCCACTGTGTTGCACCATCTCTCGGACCCCAACCAGGGAGTCGTGAAGGACCGACATAAGCCAGTCCTTTGCAGCTTTCTTTCATGCCACGACACCATCTCATGCACTGACCACCTCTCCGCTTCTTCCAACCAGTCCCAGAGTCGGCAAATAATGCACGACGTGGAATTCTCTGGGACGACATTCGGAGAACATGTCCAAGCCACCGAAGTCGGTGTTTCAAGATGGTGACACCAATTGCATTATCATCTCTGTGCCCGAACACACGATGCCGAACCTCTGCATTACTGACATGGTGTTGCCACTGAATGTCAGCAATCCTTCGGAGACAGCGATGATCGAACACAGAGAGTCGTCTAACGTCCTCAACTCGGAGAGGCCAGGTTTCACAAGCATAGAGCAAAACTGCTCTCACCGACGCGTTGTAGATCCGACCTTTTACAGCCAGACTAACATCACGAAGGCGCCAAAGGTGGCCCAGATTGGCATAAATCGCTCTGGCTTTCACTATTCGTGCATTGATCTCATCACTCACACCCCCACCAGCACTTATGCAGCTACCCAGATACACGAACTTCTCGACTACGTCTATCTGCTCACCATCCAGGGTGAGTACAGGATTGGAATCCTGCCAGTCTTATAGAAGTACTTTGCACTTCGAAGGTGCAAAGCACATACCATACCTACGGACACTGATTGTCAACTGATTAAGTGCGGATTGCATGCCTTGGGCATTATTGCACAGTAAGACAATATCGTCCGCATACTCAAGGTCGAGAAGTCTTTCTCCAGGCAACAGATCCACACTACCATTACTTACATTCATCAGAGCTGTTTCCAGAATGTCATCGATGGCAAAGTTGAAGAGGAATGGTGAGATTGGGCAACCCTGCCTAACCCGACTGCTCGAATGGAACAATGGAGAGAGGTGGTTGTATGCCCTCACTCTGCCTGAGGTGTTTTTATATAGGGCTTTTAGGATGTTAATAAAGTTCTCAGGCACACCCTTCTTCAATAGACAATCCCAGAGAACAGCCCTGTCCAACGAATCGAAGGCAGCCCTGATGTCAAGAAACACTACGATTGTTGGCCTTTGAAAAGTATGGCGATGTTCTAACATTTGGCGGAGGGTGAAGATATGATCAATACATCCTCGACCAGAACGAAACCCAGCCTGCTCCTCGCGAGTCAATCTTTCTCGGGTTTTGAACAACCTACGAAGTATGACGGAAGCCAATAGCTTGGACGCAATCGGAAGTAGACTTATCCCCCGATAGTTGTTAGAGGAACGACGTGAACCCTTTTTAAAGATAGGGACAACTATCGACTCATTCCATGACGTTGGTACACTCTCTAGTTCCCAAACCTTTGTAAACAACGTCGTCAATTCCTTAGTCAAAAAGTCACCACCATCTTTAAAAAGAGCCGGAGGTAAGTCATCTGGGCCAGGTGATTTGTAACGCTTCAAGAGTTGGAGTTCCTTGCGGACTTCCTCCTCGTTTGGTGGATCAGTCGTCACCGGCCATGGAGCGCAGGACAGTCTGACCAATGTTGCCGGGGCAGCCGGCCAGTTGAACTGCCCTTCGAAAAATTCTGCCCATCGTCCAGGACGTCGATGGATGTTAGTGATTGGCATCCCATCATCCTCGCAAATTGTTTCACTCACACCAGACTTCTTGCTGCCAGTGGCTCGGATGAGCTGGAAGAGCTTCCGGTAGTTACCAGATGCAGCTGCTGCTTCCAGCTCATTAGCACGCTTCGACCACCAGGCTTCTCGGTCCTTACGCAAGCTTTGCCCAATTTCCTTACGTAACATCCTTCGTTTATGGTCAAACTCACGGTCACCCGGAGTAGACCGACGGGCTTCAATGAGTTGTAAGGAACCTGCAGAAACCCAGTGCTTAAAAGCGGGACGTTTCGCGAACCCACAACTGACTGTACCCGCCATTTTCATGGCGTCATGCAATTGCAACCAATGCTCATCTATACTTTTCGGTGGAGTGGTAGCTAGCCTAGAGGCTAGCTCGGTTCGGTACTTACTTGCAACAGAAGTTGCGACCAGCTTGCTAATATCAATCCGTTGATGGCGGTCACTTCGCTGTCCACTGAAAAGTAAGGCAAGATTGGCGCAGACCAAGGCATGGTCAGACTCCAGATAGGTACTCCAAAAGGAACGGCAGTCTTGTACACAACCACGCCAGCGGTAACTGATCGCGATGTGATCAATTTCAGTCCAGGCTTGAGATGCAGAGGGAGGACGCCAGGTGGCACATCGGCGATGACTGTGTCGAAAGTTAGTGCTAGCCAGAAACAGGTTGTGGTCTGTGCACAGTTGTAGTAGACGGTCCCCGTTATCTGACCTGCGACCAACGAGTCCCCATCGGCCACCTAAACGACTCTCTTCTGTGCCTAGACGCCCAACCTGAGCATTCAAGTCTCCGGCTAGTACTACAATATCTGTCGAACGCACTTTCTGGAGAAGAACAGATAACTGGTGGTAAAACTCATCCTTGATTGCATCCGGGCTGCAATCTGTCGGGGCATAAGCGAAGATGACGAAAAGACATCGTTTCTCACGCCGATTTCTTCTCACTTTGATGGAACTTTCTAATCTAACAGCACATAACCGACTGTTAATGGGGATCCAATCGACTAGTGCTGCCTCAGCTCTAGCGCTTAGTGCGACACCAACGCCAGCAAGACTAGACGAAGATGCCACAGGGTCCCTGGATAAGCGCACGTAAAACAAGCTTTTTGAAGTGACAGATGGAGAGCGAATTTGTAGTACTTCACCAGAGTCTTGAATACGGGTCTCGGATAGACAACAAACATCATTATTAAGACTTTCCAAAGACATAGCCAGCCCTATCTGTTGTCCGACCTGCATAAATGTGCGAACGTTGAAGGCAGCCAGTTTGAATGGTGCACGTGGTTTCAGAAAAACTGCTTCAGTCCTTGTATTCGGTGGTAACATACAATTTTCAACCGGACAGTGACTCGAGAACGTTTAGATACAGTCGAATTTCCACCAAAGACGAGCCGCTGTATAAGTATAAAAGAGGGTGGATAATGTGGGAAATAATAGTAATAATAATAATAATGACAATAATAGTAGTAATAATAATAATAGTATTAATAATGACAATAATTGTAATGATAATAATTTGAATCAATTGATTGTTTTTCGAAGCGAGAAAAATAATTTCCATAGGCATAGAGAGTTCATCATTTGTGTGTGGGCTGTGATACTGCCCGGGTGCCCAAACCGAAGCAGGTGGTTATCTTAGGGGGCCACTCCCCGAGCCTTTGACCTAAAGGTCTAACCCACAAGGCAGTGAAGCATCGTAAGGAGATGCAATCCCATGGTAGACAGTGACCAACGATTGGTTCACACGCCATTTGTTCCCGCAGGATATTGGAGCCCATGTGCACCATTGATTTGGAATCCGGTTAAAGCGCCGGACATTCGCTTTTCGTCCTCTCATTTTCGTAAACAACACCCCCGCCACGAGAAGGCAATGAGTTGGACCTCCCTGGCAGAGGCTGTATACGCGTGGCCGTGTGAGAGTATTTCGAGAGGGAGAGCGGACTCTCCCCACTCTCGGCCGTACCAGGGCATTCGGGGACCTGCCTCACTTTGGTGAAGCTTTCCAATGTAACAGGACATGCACGACTGTTAACGGAGATTCAGTCGGTTATTACTACCTCTACTCTGGCGCTTAGTGCGATTCCAACACGACCGCCAGCTAAACCCGATCAAGATGCCACAGGGTCTCCGGTCAAGCGCACGCAAAACAGGCTTTCCGATTCAACAGATAGAGGGTGATTTTGTGGTACCTTTTGAATACGAGTCTCGAATAGACAACAAACGTCAATATTAAGACTTTGCAAGGACAGCCAAATCTATCTGTTGTTCAATCCGCATTAGTGTGTGAACGTTGAAAATCACTTTGAATGACATGTAGTTTCCGAAAGGCAGTATTAGTAACCATATCCGGTGGTGGCTTTTAAACATTTGACCAATCACAGACTTGAGTTCATTTGCACAAGATAAGTTTCGCACCATAGACAAGCCGTGAGCAAGTCAAAAACAAATAAAAGTACACTATGGAAATAAAAAGGAGTAGGAGAAGGAAGTAAAGTAAAACGAGAGCACTTGAATTAGGTGAGTAATAAATACCTTCTGAGTAGGTAGAGAAGCAGATCAAGTAAGTCGGTTTCCTCATAATTACTCATTGTCATATTTGGGAGGTCCGTAGTAACCACCAACCCGGTCCAAGCACTGTTTGTCTTCTCATTTCGTTAAACAGCACCTATGCAGCGAGAAAGTGGTAAGTAGAGCTTCTCCAGCTGTAGTCATGTCAGCATTTCGAGATTGAGAGTGAACTGTTTCTTAACTGTACTAGGGCGTTTAGAGTTAAGCTTGTTAACTATTATGTAATGTTTGATGACTGGTCATGTGAGCGCATTTCGAGAGGGAGAGCGGACTTTCCCCACTCTCGGCCGTACCAGGGCATTTGGGGGCGGTCGAACTGTTGTTTAAACCATATTTTCCAGTGAATATTTAAACCAACTACATCAGACCAAAACGTGTTAGCACGACCTAGTTTCATGTGAAACTCCAATCTTTTGGTTCACATTTTTTTAGTTTCTCACTGTGCTGACGTAAAGTGTGACATAAAAGAGAAATGGATGGAATCCAATTACTCCTTAATTTGCTCCTTTTTGGAAATTGAAATAATTGGAACGAAATGTATAGTCTACTCAAAGTTATTGTTGTTATAATGAGTGACAACACAAAACAATAGAATTTATAAACAATAATAACTTACTGTAATCATTTCACCGCGAAAAATGTTTGGCCTACGAATTACTGTTACTATTCCCAATTTCATCTGTTTTACAACGTTGTTCTCATTCTAGATTAGTGTAAAATATCCAACTTATTGTTATACGAGTTCATTGAGAGTTTGTCGCTTATTTTTTCTTCAGAATACGTGTGGATTGGTCCTACCCCTAGGCTTTGGCTTTCTCTCTTCTGCAGCCTCTGCGCTTATCACACGATCTTACCCGGTACCTGACCTGCTTGATGTTAAAAGTATGTGGAGAATGTTCAAACTCTATAGTAACTCATTTCGAACTGTTGGCACCTGTTTGCTTTTGGGTCATACAATATTTGGAACAGCATTGGTATACGCTATGATGGATAGTAATCAACGTGTTCTCAGGCAGCAAAAGTTTAGTCCCAGTAGTGATTCATATAATGGATGATTCATTGCAAACTAAATCGAACTTTAGTGCTTGTTGTAAATTGGTTACAATTAAACTAATATAGATTTACTTTACTGCACTAATCTTCTTAACTCTTAATTATATTTGAAAAAGTTATCGACCTAATTTTATCCAAACTACAGGCAGCAAAATGTCAGACGAATACACAAAGGTATTGCATTTCTTTTGCACTGATCATTTTCTAATTTTCTTAATCTCTTTTATATTGAGTACACTTTCCAATATGAGTTAACTTTATTCGAATATTTGTTATGATCAAGACAAGTTTTGCAACAAATATGTGTGGCGTTTTAAGATAACTCATAAGAAACTCAATATGATCGCATTCATATTACTTTGTTAACGCCTGGTTGTAACTAGCGCACAAATGACAAGCTTGTGTATTTTGAGATTTATTAATTGTAGTCACAATTCGACTGAACTATGTCTGTATTTTGTTGGTCAGTGTTGTTTATTTAAAGTTCATCGAAAGTGATATTGTGGTGTGCGCTACTTACGCGGACAGATATTAGTAGTATATGACAGGTTTTTGAAGTGAAATGCATACCAGCAGAGTACTGAAATAAGGTGAAGAGTAAGGAAAACAGAGCAGTCGAAATAACAACAGAATTGGAGGAATGGAGTATGTAAAGGACAACTTAAGGGAAATGTGCAATTGATGTATTTAATGTATGTTTTTCATATTTTACAAAGGCACTGTGTCCTTTTGCATAAAACAAATTGCTTTACCTTACCTGCCTTTTTGTTCACTACAGTATTACCGCCTTATTGCATAATAGTTTTTCCCCCAGTAATATTTTAAGGTTTACTTTAAATAATACTCCATGTTCATTTGCAGTTAGTCAGAATATAGTACAGACCAAATCCCACCAATGTAAATAAAAAGTTATCGTATTGATTAACATTGACTATGATATTTGTTCATGTACTTGAATACAACATTAATCAATAATGTCAAAAACTGCTTAGTAGTGTTAATAGTATGCCGACATTTACCACAACCTTAATGTTGAAAATAAGATTATGTAAATCCTTTGTTTGTCTTCATATTGAGTTAGATTTGAATATGTTGCACCATTCCGATCAAGTAAATGCCATGTGCATACATATTTGTTCAATCTTTTCACAGAACTGTTGTTTGAATGGAAATTTAGTCTCACTAATCAACTTTTATCTAAGAAGTAAATTATTGTATCATATTTCGCGCGAAGACGACTCAAAGCTTACTACCTGTACTTGATTACTTAGTCGAATGTTTTGTAACCATCGTAAACAATTTAATTGTATATGCTGTATCTGGTTTCTACACTGATTATATTGGTTAGTCAATCATCATATCATTCTCATTGCAGAAATATTTTGAATTAACGAAGAAAGTTTACCAACAAGTCACCGTATCATGATATTTATAAGCATGAAAATCATGTTGAGTGTGTTGGGGTTTTCTATTTGCTGTTTTATCGCTACATAACGCTTGAAAAGTTATTCTAACTATTTATTCATATGGATTTTAAAAGTGATTGGAACTTTTTAAAAATGATGGTTATTTTTCTGTTCAAATGGTTTTATTATCTGAACGACATGTATTAGGTCCTCACCTAGAGTTTATTTTAGCTATATATATTGATCAACTGGCCATATTCAAACTAGTTTAAGAAGCCGACTCGAAATAAATAAGTGATAGTTTTATCCCTGTTAATTAGATGACCAGTTAAATAATACTAGATGGTATCGAATGGCAATAAATTCCTCCCCATCCAAAGTAATTAAACAACTACATATAAGGCAAACATTTCACTTATCTTGGAATTTTTGTCACTCCTGGCAACTTGCTGGTTAATGAATTCTCTGAATGGATTTAGAGAGCTAGTTTAGCTTTTATCATCGTGTGTCAGCTTTCAACAAAGTGGCGAGTGCAATGCAACGGTTTGTTCTGTATTACTCTATGATATGGAAACATGGCAACTGAAAGTCAAATGCTCCTCGTTTTTGATCACAGGTGTCTTTAATGCATATTGTCGAACAGGATTGAACAATACTATAGTTAGTAGAGAGTATTAAACCAGTATAGCATCTCGTTTGTTGACGTTGTGGGTTTTCATCGACTGAGGTAGTTGGGACATGTGTTATATATGCCCAACTGCGACCCACGTTAAAATGCAATATTGACTGGTGTAGGAGTGAGTTGGTTATGAAATGCTTACGCGATAACTATAATATTTCTTGACACGTTTTCTAAAGTCTGGTTTCGCAAGTAATTTGTCAATCTGATTTACCCATGAGCCCAAAAGCGTCCGATTTCCTAAGTGTGATTTCTGGATTATGTTTCCATTGATTACTTTTTTCTCTACAGATAAATGTAAGCATTGGCGGCTGCAAAAATTGCGTGTCCTGTCTTCATCACTTACTTGAAAAGTATGCTGGTACGTTTATACATATTTTTTAATAAATCCGCAAATATAAAGCCTCTTATCCGATAAAAGATAAAACAATAGCATTGTGGTTGAAGCACTTGGCTGTCAACCAGCAGGTCCAGGTTTGAACACCATTACGTATATTTCAGTTGGTCAGTACAATTAGTCGCTACACAATGCGTAATTCTAAGCTGGATTCATAATCCTGTACTTAGTAAAGTTGTTATATTACCAGTTATGGGGAATACTTCCTTCAAGCTTCATTATTTTTTATTTTCGACAAAACGGGAGTATAGGCACCCTACATTTCACTGATAAGTACTTTCTTACTCTCCCAATATCACTGTTAGTAAAATACATCAACGTAAAATATTGTTCATCACTGTTTTGAATTAAGCAATTCCATTCAATGAGTTTTTACGTCATCAAAAAAGAGGAGAATAATAAATTTCGTCAACAGTTTATTTTCAAACACAAAATCATTGAAACCAACATGTAGTTTTATGATATAATTTATTTGTAAAGTCCTAATAACTAGAAAAACTACACTTTCGACGTTTCGTCATTTAGTGTAATTCACTTCTTCGACGAATAAAAATAAATAGAAGTTTGAATAGTGCAAAAGGCACAATGTAGGATATTTTCAGTCGTCGAAATTAACATAGGTCTGATCATGGTAATGTTATGTTATTCCGGTGAGATCTAGCCGTGTATATGTTAATGGGTGTGTTAAATATGATATTTGTAATGTGAAAGAAGAACAGCTTCTACAACATAGCAATTTTTGTGCCTTGTTTCATTAAAGAAATTTTCTATCTTGTTTGGTCAAATGACTTGAATAGTTTTAAAATTGTAGCTGCTGGTTATTAATTTTTGAAAAGTAATATAAAGAGTAAATATTCCTTCAATGTTCACCTTTTCTCCAAACTACGAACGTTGATAACTTACAAAGTACTAGCTCTATCGTTTCAAATGTCGTCACGGACACCGATAATGTCTATTTCAACTACATTGTACATGGTAGCGTTCCAATCTCTTGAAGGGTTAAAGAGCGCTATCAGTACACGAAAGGCAACATACTACTATTGTGCGGTTCATGATTTGCATTTCCACAAGAATCAGAAGCCGTATATAAAACTTGTATGTTAGAGAAATGGTCGTAAAATAGTCGTCAAATCCCCACAGCCTATTCGGTAGAGATGGTAAGTTGGTCAATGTTATTATATATTTTCCTGAAGGGCCCCAACAAATGCTTAATGTCCGGCCTTCGTCTATCGTAAATTTGTTGAGGGTTAACTGGACTGTTGTTCGTGGGAAGGCGCATCACAGTCATGAATGCAGTTCCCTAAGGTATGATAACCATTCGTGAATGCTCACGCGCGAGTGTTCTAGAACTCTAGCTGGACTCTGGAAGATTACGCAAGTCAGGACTTTTCAAACTATGTTATGTGTTTGTGGTGCATTACAATGATGATATCATTTACTTTTGTTCGTGTCACTTGTTAATCTGCACAGTAGAAACACAAATATAAGTGTTCATTTCTATCTAATTATTTCCAGATATAAAGGAATATATAATTAGTTCTGAGGAGAATCTCATATCAGTACATCCAGTTTATGTAAAACGAGTGACCAGCCTTTTAAAATTTGTTGGATTGGATATTAAAGATGTCGATAATCATTTATCAGTTTACAGTAAGGACAGTAAAGCCGAGTCAAACGATGACATCTACTTCTTATCAGAGTTAGATGATAACTCACAAGTTGGTTATTCGTCTAATTTTTTTGTCATTTTCACAGTTAGCTTATTAGATTGCTTTCAGTAATCGTTTTTAGTTGCTACCATCGGGTCCAAGATTAAATTACTTGACATTTAACTACATGGTTGCAAATGCGAATCCCACTCCACTTTAATGTTCGGTTAGGCAGGTACTATCTCTAGCCTTGACACAAAAGCCGAGTACACAAATCTGTACGTTTGACTGATCAGTGACCAATATTATGTTTGTTTATTCCTGTAATGCTAATTAGTCAAGTTACAATGCGGCCAATAGTCGAAGTGACTCAACGTCGCCAGGTAACACGAAAACTGGGTCTTCGGTTTCCTTCCAACTACCCTCGACCACCTGACATTTCGCAATAACTCACTCAACGTCGAATCACTCAGACTGGTGGCTACATTGCAACTTGATTGTTATAATTCGGTCAGAGCTAAAATACTACACAAAGGTAACATTTGTCACTACTCAGCAATCAATCAATTATAAATATCTCAGTTTTGTAGCGTGTCAATTAAAGCCCTAATAGCTCGATAGTAACGTCTCAGGCTGTAAAGCTAGGTAACATGGGTCTAAAACCCACAAGAAGCATCAGTTCCTTCACAACTGAAGGGATGCTTTGTTGACAAGTCCCAACTAATCTGGAGCACAGGTCCAGTGTTTCAAGCTGACGACCACCTGACACGAACATGTGTTTGATAAGTAGTTCTGTATCAATTAAAAGCAACAGTGGCTGAGTTTCACAAACCATATTTTTTACATTCACTTACCCTGCTTCTGTTTTATGTTCTCGCTACATTCAGGCTAACAAAAACTTACACAAATCGGGGTGTATTTAACCAGCCGAAAGTACTTAATTACATCTGTTACACCTCGTGGAGGAGCATAAGCAGCCCACCAGCATTTTCCATCCGACCATGTCCTGGGCAATCCTTTCCGATTGCTGTTTGCTCTTTTGATGTCCACTTCCGACTCCCGACACAATGCATTCCTTGGTTTTCTTTTCCTCTACCCTTCAGGATTCCACGTTAGGGATTGTCTCGTGATGTAGTCTGATGACTTCCGTATTGTATATCCTACCCGCCTCCAACGTCTTTCCTACTTTCTTCTTCAATTGGAAGCTGGTTTATTCTCCACCACATTGGGCTGTTGCTGATGGTATCCGCCCAGTGGACAGTTGTTTATAAATACTTGTACCTTTTTGATGATGGTTGTAATAGTTCTCTACGTTTCAGCTCCATACAGTAGAACTGTCTTGAAGTTTGCATTGAGGATGCTGACTTTGGTGTTGGCTGACAGTTGTTTTGAGTTCAATATGTTCTTCAGTTGTAGGTCTGTTCACGACCGACCATTACGGAGTCCAGCCTGTTGGTCTTGAAGTTGGGTGTCTACTGAACCTTCCATCCGGTTGAACAACATTACTGAAAACATGTCCGGGTACTTATAGTATTGTAATGTCTCTGTATTTCCCACACTTGCTCATATCTCCCTTATTTGGTATCCTGATTAGTTGACCTCTCCAGTCTGTGGGCACTTGTTCCTCTTCCCAAATCTTCCTAAATAGAATGTGGAGCATGTTTGCAATCACTTTTATATCTGATTTCACTGCTTCAGCTAGTATATTGTCAGGTCCTGCTGCCTTCCCACTCTTGATTTGTCTGATGGCCATGCTGATTTCTCCATTCGTTGGTGGAGTGAAACCTATGAGAAAGTCTCTGTGTGCTGCTTCCATGTCCCGTGGGTTCAGTAAAGCTGGTCTTGCGGCAAGTGCGTTAATTCGTATGTATAAACAGTTTCGTTTAGACTTAAGAGAATACTTTGTTTATTTCACTCTCTTTTGAACTTGATGTGGAGTCAACATTAATCACGTATATAGGTTTCAATGATAGTTGGTTGCCACAATAATCATAACCGATCGACATTGTACTAATCTATCAACCAATAAAGAATGCATTGAATAATCACGTAATGTGGGATCAAAAATAAACGATTTTGAAGAAAATTAAGTGATAACTCATTCGCTGTTAATGCAAAGATTCGAAAACCTCATTTGTATTTGATTTGACATTAAAAAAGTGACCGCTTTACATTCAATGTATTGATATGTAATCCATATCATTATGAGACCGTTATTTGTCGTTAAAATTGAGTAAACTGTGGAAATAATTTACTTAATTTGTTCGAATTTTCAAGTATGATAGACAGCTGACAATTTTATGTCAATAATCTTTAATTAATGGATTCTTAGTTGGTATTTACTCCTATTTATCACCAGGTATTTTAATTTCCTTTATTATGTCACACATTTTCTTTTATCTCGTAAAAAACGACTAGTTCACATAATGCCTATGTTTCATTTGAAGTTACGTCAATTCATTTTTCATCGCAGATCAATTCTATGGCATCTAAACGCAAACAACTAGACGGTCATCTTATTATGAAACGAAACAACCACTCCATTATCGCCTCCGAATTAGTAGCAATACTTCCGCATGAAGTTGAATGTTGTCGACCACATTTAGTACCAGGTTGGTGTGTTGCAGTTCATTCAGAACATCATCTAAGTAAAATAAATCAATATTTACAATCATTTGTTCCACTCCCTGGGGAGCTCAGTCATATTAAACGAATAGACAGTTGCCGATCATATGAAAATAAATCAACTTATGTCTTTTTGCAGATAGCCAGATCAAGGTTTGTGTTGTGAACGTTATCAGCACGTATCAAGTGCCAATTAGTATTTGTTTCTCATGTTGTAATTCACTTACTAACCACTGGTTCATGTGGTCGGTCTCGGGCCCACACTTTATCGCAGCGCTAGTGGTATTACGGGCCTTCTAAATCGAAGTAAATAGAGCGGATTTGGAACCTTGAATTGATTCCTACGTTTTTATTGTATGATGAAGGTATAATTTCGAAAGTATTAGTTTCGGTATTTTAAAAAAACTAATAATGCTTAACCAATAATCGAGCAGTTGAGGTTCGATCAGGGATGAAAATAGTTCTGTGTTCCTTTCGAAAAGCTCTTATGGCTACGTTTTTATAGTCACTGCGGGAAACGTTTTGCGCACTGCATGAGTGTTGGTTACAGAAGTGAGAGGACAAAAAGTGGACGTCTGGTTCTTAAACTCGGTTAGTGGATAAAGGTAGTCCGTTCACGGAGCTGTCAAACCTCTATTCCAAACATATGGTGCACATGTCAGCTATAACCTTGATGCGATCGGACGGCTTATGAACCTATTGTTAATCACCGGCTACTATGGAATTGGATATTCTGACGTTGTTCCACTGCCCTGTGGATGAGATTCTTGAGTTAGTGGCCCCTAGGGAAACGCTATATGATACAACATGAGCTGCGAGACAGTATTGCAGCACTCTCAGAAATATGGCAATGAGCAAATATGAAGAAATCGACTTACTTGATCTGCTGCAGAAAAGAGAAAGCCAAAGCCTAGGGGTAGGACCAATCCACACGTATTCTGAAGAAAAAATAAGCGACAAACTCTCAATGAACTCGTATAACAATAAGTTGGATATTTTACACTAATCTAGAATGAGAACAACGTTGTAAAACAGATGAAATTGGGAATAGTAACAGTAATTCGTAGGCCAAACATTTTTCGCGGTGAAATGATTACAGTAAGTTATTATTGTTTATAAATTCTATTGTTTTGTGTTGTCACTCATTATAACAACAATAACTTTGAGTAGACTATACATTTCGTTCCAATTATTTCAATTTCCAAAAAGGAGCAAATTAAGGAGTAATTGGATTCCATCCATTTCTCTTTTATGTCACACTTTACGTCAGCACAGTGAGAAACTAAAAAAATGTGAACCAAAAGATTGGAGTTTCACATGAAACTAGGTCGTGCTAACACGTTTTGGTCTGATGTAGTTGGTTTAAATATTCACCGGAAAATATGGTTCAAACAACAGTTAGACCATTACAAAACAATTATAACGCTTGTTATAAAAAAAAGAGAACAGTAGTTGATGGATTCATTTTTATTTCGTTGGTTCTCGTCAGCTGCTTACAACCTGTGATATTTAGAAATCGTAATTACATAATGGGTTTAAATTACTTACATGAAAGAGTTTGATTGGAATTTTTATTGAAGACATATTCGTATAGTATAGCAAGGGTGTAAATAAATTTTGTTGACTGAATATTGTAAATATATACCTTATGTAAACGAACATTGTGACAACAGTTCAAACGGCTAGAAACAAGTAAACATTGATAGGAATAAAATGAGTAGAGTTCAGTTGATAAAATAAGATTACTAATTTGGAAGATAGTTGAAATAAAACTCAATGATGTGATAAGTGCAAAAAAGAGTTTAAAGGAAAAGAAAAAAAATATTAAGATACAGCGAAGGAATATTAGTCACCAAGGCAAGGAAAGATTAATAACCATCTCCTTTTGAACACATAAATCAGGTTTTTGGCGTCTGATAGCAACTGCTTCAGCAATCTTTAGAAGACTGGAGTTTAGCTGCTTACCAATCACCTTGAATGATTGTAGGGTATCGACCTGATGTCCTGTATCAAGATGTTTGGTGATTGCCCTATTTAGATTCTTTCTTTCTCTTGTTCTGAGGCTTTTTGGAACATGTTCAAAAAATCTGAGACTGTGGCCATTTATGCAGTGCGTACCTGGACTCTGATCATGTCTTGGTTTGCACCAATCTTATCCTACGTTTCACTGACCAACCAATTCATTGTCCTAAATTAATTGATGTAAGCAACATCCGTTGCAACCAAATATCAAACCGAGTTAGGTTTAAGGTTAGCTGTCAATCCACCAGTATATATGAGTATTATCTGCATCTGCATAACTTTGTGAAAATGGCTGCTCACTTATTTTGTGGCTTTGGGAAATGTTCGACCTATGAAGATTTTGTTCCTGGAGTCTTTTTCAGAATTCGTTGCTTCATATATATATATATATATTTGCTCACCTTGAGCTGATTTACATATGCCAGAATGTGATCATTTGCAGTTCATACCAACAACAGGAAGATTAGAACCCCGAGAAAATCAATTAAACGTAATGTTTGTTGTTTGATGATTTCCATATTATTCGAAATTATACTTATTTGGACTTGTGAGCTAAAATATGGTTTACCTTAGTTGTCAATAAATTATCTAAAGAACTAACTCTGCAGTTTGTGGTTCAATGTTCATTATTGTCTCATATTTGGTGTGGTGAACCGATAGTTTGTTATTGCTACTTTCTAAATTATAACGAAGATTCAAATATGTGTGTTTTCTTTTGCCTCCATTTGTTGCAGCTACACATGGCTAGATGCCAATGAAACTTTGAAATCTATGGTCGACTTACTACAATTGAATTCATCCGATCACCAGTTTATTAGCACATCCCCAACACCCTGCTGGATACCACTTCATGCACCAATAACTCGCAAGCATCAGCTCCTCTACTCATTTTCAAATGAATCACAAGAGAAGAGATTTTCAACGTTCAAAAATTCACTTAATGAACCAATTATTTTAGGTTGGCCATCCACTTTACGAGCCTGTCCCGAGCTTGAGGAACTAGTGAATGTTGGACGAAGCTTGTCGTTATCATGTTTCTCAGAATTAGAGCTAAAAAAGTAGGTTGTTTGGTCTTTAGAATTTATATATTGGACATCAATGTATTAACGATACTAATGGTGTACTTATGTGCTAAACGGGTTTCATACTATATTGTTATTACTAAGTTTAGTGTTGTATGATGATGAGACGATGGAGATGTACGAATTATCACTTAGCACATTTGGTGCCTGGGAAAGTTGTGTTGTACAATAAAATAAGAGTCCGTTTTTCAATGGAAACTTAATGCCGAGCTCAGTATGCAACTTATGCTGAAATTTGAGTAAAACGCTAGGCGCTTACTTCGGCATTGGCAAACATGCTATGTTAATCTCTCGTTTTAGCAAAATTCGCGATATTGATTTCTTTAGTGGTGTAAAGTAGACCGAAGACTTCTCATAAGGAACTGTCTTCTACTGGTTAGTTTTCACGTTATGTTATATAAAATACAAATACTTGTGTTATCTTTTTCAGGCATTCATTATGGCTCAAACGTGTTTCTACCTTGTCAAAACAAGTGCAAGAACTAAGTGATATACACCCACAATCATGTGCAGGCGTTGATGGTCCGGCTTGTGCAGTCATCATAGTTGATCCAGAATCGAATATTGCATTAGTAGAATCAACTACACCTACGGTAACATCAGATATATCTTGGTTAGATCATGCAGCATTACTTGCTGTGTCAGCTGTTGCTAAATTAAAACAGAATACAGGAAATCAGTACTCTGATTCTTACTTGTGTACAGGTTTTGATGCATACTTTTCACTCGAACCATGTCTGATGTGTGGTATGGCTCTGCTTCATAATCGCATTCGGCGAGTTTTCTGCTGCCAAAAGCTTGCGGGCGACGGCGCATTTAGTAATGCAAGCCGTCTTCACGTGCAGGAACAATTAAACCATCGTTTCCGAGTATTTAGTCCGCCGTAAATGTCTATGGGATTTGTTTTATATCAACATATTGGCAATAAATGAAAAATAAACTACATCCTTTTGTCTTTTTATCAGGGAAGTGATTTCACATCATATGTTGTGGCGCTAATTATGACTAAATATATTCCGCCTCGTTAATTGTGGACTTCTACTGTATATGCTCGGGCGCATTTAGCTTACAAATCCTTACTATTTCGGCTTATTATAAATGACGATAACATCCAAATTTTATATCAAAAGATCTGTACACTATTTGTGATACTTAAGCATTTTGTTACTTCTCAGAGTTTAACTACTTGAAACCAGCCATGTTAACCAAGTGAACCTTGAAAATGCGGAACTAGCTATCGATTAACATAAATTGTTTGCGACGATTTTAAATATGCCTTTAATTAAAACGAACGGATATTAAGGTTTTGTCCATTCCTCTGCAAACACTTTGTTAAATATTATGGAATAATCTTGATCTCTTTTGTCGTAACAGTTCTTATGTCTGACTTTTGGGGATTAACTGCTACTAGGAGGTTCACTTTTCAACTAAAAGTAGCATTCATGATTAACAAAGACTCAGCAAACTAGTGTTCAGGATACGCTTCCCTTCCTTTGAATTTAAAGCGGTGACGTAAAACTGGTTTGATTTTGCGGCTAGTTTGGCAATAAGTAATTTAGTGTAGTGACAACCTCATTTTTCAGTTTCGTCAAATCCCTTTGCACATGAAGAAACCGTGAATCGGGTTAAGCTGAGGTTATGTGTAATGGATTATTTACGGATACTAGGTCGATTAACATGGTTAAACTTTCATCGGCTGAAATGCATAGGATACACAAAACATCGCCTACTCTACAAACAATAGTGAGCGTCATAGTGCGCCGGAAACAAGCTAATAGTCCGATCGATGGCCAATCCGGTGCGTTTCTTTTTCCTTGATCTAATCTTTTGTTTTGGAATTAGATTTTCAGTCAAACTAGTAAGCATATTTGCCTGTTATATAAATTCAGTCCGATGTTCTGTGTTAGGACCTGCCATAGTAGATAATCTTCAGAAAATTCAGTATTGACTTAAATCCAAATTCTTTTACCTACCTGCTACAACAAAGAAAGTTTATAAATTCAGACTAGTTTGTCTTTATCAAGAGTACTAACTTCTTGATCCTGCACGAGTCATGCTGTCTATCCATAGTAATGTTGTGCGAAACATTTACAGGATCGTGGACTAGTAAACCGCTTCTCAAACAGTTACATGGTAACGAACATTAATGCACAAAACCTGTAACAAGTTCATCCAAACGATTTTGTGCTACTAATCGTGAGGGGATTAGAGAACACAACTCTTAGAAACAAAGTGCGTGGACATCAGCCTAAACTAGTAATCAGTGTCTTAACCACTAAACGAAAGACATGCCGATACGAAAACATTTCTGAACCTATCCTACGGCAACTAATGAGTCTGCAAACTAAAGTTACGCTGCACTGCGCAAAGATAATTCTAAGCACGCTTCTCACTCCGAATTGTGGGTCTTATTATTCATACTATATGGAGGACCCAACTAGTCATACGCTTGATATCTTTGAGCAACGTACATTCGAGATTTCAGGACTATACAACGCATCCGGTATATTATTCAGAAACAAGTAGCGCCATGAATAACACTTGGTTGGTGGAGTCCTCATTAAGAATCGAATGGCTGTCACATTTTAACGGTTAAGACCTGAAATTATCTTAACAGATCTTCAGTCTCGTTTCCTATTAAGCTTTAAAATATAATCTATTTAGCTTCAGAACAAATACCTCTCGTCATGTAGCATTGTCTAGCCTTTTTGGTCTAAGCAAAAGTACTGATATGAAAATGGCCAAAATATTGCGCATCGAAAACCATCGTTTTCAATAGTATACTTAACACATCGCACCACATAAAGAGACTGTACGACGAGATTTACACCTGAGAAATAAACGTAGCCCATGTAGAAGAGCATTGTGGTGAAAACATCAATGACCCGAGAAAGTTGAGTACTCTTCATACAGAGGTCTCCAATATACTCAATGACACAACGGACTATCAAAACGACTAAACAGTACAAACCTTATAGGTACTATAATTATCATGTTCTCCGCATTGATAATTCCAAAACTTTGCCTTGTTTATTTTTAATAAAACTCAAGTCACGAAGTTCCTGATATGTATGTATTCTGCATACTGTCACTAGGTGAAAAAAGTTAATGCATAATGCTAAAGTGACATGTTATACGATCAGGTTACACCGCGCCCAAATGTATGGAAAGCTAACATATCAGCCATTCAGGAATGCGCTGCTAAGACAGATTGGTTAGTAGATACTAGCATATCAGTTGAAGAAGCATGGTCTGTACTTAAAGGTAAATTTAGACTAGTTACGTCCCCGTTCATACCATACCTGGTACCGCGAAGACCGGATAATAGTCCACCATAGATAACTAAAACGGTCAGGAAACTCCTTAGAAGAAGGAAGAATCACTGGAATATGTTCATCTCTACTGGCTTAGAACAATACAGATCCAGCTATTGTAAGATTAGGAATGCCTGTAAAGCGTTAATAAGCAAGACTAGACATTCATACGAAAAAAACTTGGTTAGGGATTCTAGATATAGTCCGAAACGGTTATTCTTGTATATAAAAAGGCGAACTAAGAGAAGCGATGGAATTCCATCACTTTTGATAAGAGACAATCCGTTAATCTTAGCAGAGAATGATGCCGAAAAAGTTGAAGCTTTATCGGAATATTTTAGTAAAGTTTTCTATCGGTAATGAGGAACGACCAATGATTCATCGTGACCGTGACGGCTCGCTGATGGATCCTGTAGTCATTGAGAAAGATACTGTTTTAAGGCTACTTCAGCATCTCAAACCTGATAAGTCCAGTGGTCCCGATGATATTCATCCTAGGATTATGAAAGCCATATCAGATGAAATTGCTGAACCATTAGCGATACTATTCGACATGTCTCTGAGACAGTCCAGACTTCCTGGAGACTGTAATGATGCCATAATAAGTCCGGTGTATAAGGCTGGGAGTAGGTATTTAGTTAGTAACTATAGACCCGTTAGCTTAACTAGTGCAGTTGTGAAACTGATGGAGCAAATCATTCGGATATCTGTTATAAACTATGTTGAAGAGCGAAATCTTTTCTCCAGGGCACAACATGGTTTTCGGAAAGGCCTATCTTGCTTGACAAATCTTCTCATTGCACGAGAAGAGTGGGCTGCGGCAAAGGATCGGAATGCTCCTGTGGATGTAATTTTCATAGATCTAAGTAAAGCCTTTGATAAGGTTTCCCACTCTTGTCTTCAATTCAAACTGAAACGTTTTGGAATCCATTACACGGTCGTCGATTGGATAAGTAACTTTCTCCATGACAGGAGACAAAGGGTAAGGGTTAATGGGGCTCCCTCCTCGTGGGTACCTGTAAAAAGTGGGGTTCCCCAAGGCACAATCCTAGGTCCTCTTCTCTTTTTACTTTATGTAAATGAATTGCCAACTGTAGCAAAATCATCCGTTCTACTCTTCGCTGATGACATGAAGATTTGGAGACCCATACATAGTATGTCGGATAGAATAGTATTACAAGACGATCTTAGCTCATTGGTGGCATGGTTAGACAGGTGGTCACTAGAAGTAAATCCTAATAAGAGTGTAGTGATGCAGTAAAATAACTATGATGAATCGTATGACTACACACTACGTGGATTCGTGCTACCCAAAGCAAGAAACCACAAAGACTTAGGAGTCATATTAAGCAATGATCTCAAAATGACTAGTCACTGTAAAGCTGTTGCTGCAAAAGGCTATAGGGTGTTATGGTCAATTCGTAGGCCTTTTCAGTATTTAGATGATGAAATGTTTGGATTACTATACCCGATTTATGTGCGACCACATTTAGAATACGGGATTCAAGCAGCGAGCCCTTGTTTCAAATATGAAGCAGATATGCTAGAAAGAGTCCAACGACGAGCTACTAAGATGGTACAGGGTCTATCTGGCCTATCTTATGAAGACAGACTGAGACACCTTAACTTATTTCCGTTATCTTACCGTAGAGTACGGGGTGATCTAATATTGGCTTATCGTATACTGAACGATGACCTTGGTATTAACATGTCTTATCTTTTGCTTCCGTCTAGAACCGATAATTTGAGAGGACATTCGAAGAAAGTTCAAAAACCGAGATCAAACTGTTTACGTCTGGAGTTCCGTTTCTCGCACCGAGTAGTGAATTACTGGAATTCTCTACCGGAACACGTAATATCAGCACCGTCTGTTAATATATTCAAAACGAGATTGGACCTCCACAGTACTACAAACTGCAAGGATTAATATAGGTCGACAGACCTCCTATCCTTATTACTGAAGACTGAAAGCCACTTTGAAATTCTGCACGAATTCGTGTAAGATACGAAACTTAAAAATTCAACTGCGTAATCCTTAGTGAAGTATCATTGGGCCAACGCAGTAATCACTGGAAAATGAGCGGTGTGAATCACTTAAACGTTTATTACATGTGTTGTACAATCTCGAAATGTCTCAACGAAATATTTTATTTACATATGCAAACCAGGTAAACGCCATTATTGCTCAGTCTTAACCTTTTTTGGTGCTCTGAAGAAAAACAATTATATGTAGAATTATAACTTACCGATACTGAGCAGTTACCATAGCGTGACCACGTTCGAATGGTTCAAGAGTAACCTGTTCACGTGGAGTGAATTGTAATTTTCGTAGTGTGTCTACTTCCTTTGCAAACACAACCTCAGGAGCAGCAACTGAGTCAATACATGAGGCTTTGATGGATATAACAGCATGACCTCCGTTTTTTAAGTAGTACTCGGCGTTGACACCCACTATTCTAGACTGATCAGGTTGAGCGACATCAGCAAATATACAATCCACCATACCTAAAACATATTAATCTTTAATATATGCATACCAACAAGCATCCTGTATTTGTGAGGATGTCTAGCATCTTCTATTATTGGAACCACATTTGTTCGATGCTTAGCGACATTCAAAAGATCACGTCCTGAACGATGCGAGAATTCTACAGCATAAACTACTCCATCTGCGCCGACTACATCAGAAACATGAGAGACAGTAGTTCCGCTAGCAGCCCCCAAATACAAAACACGACTCCCTGGCTTGATATGGATCTGATCAAGCCCGTTAACTATGCCTGCTGCTAATTTCGATCGAAATGGATTCCACACTCTGTATTCAATTTTACCACCCGCGTCATCCTCTACGCTGATTCGCTTTTCTCCATAAACAGACTCGCCGACGACAACATTTCTCGTTACCAAGCAGTCCTCTTTGCCTTTGGCAACAAAAATACCTTCATGTCTATGGGGCTCTATCAACACTTTTTTCCCTCCTCTCATTCCTCCACGTCCACCCCTCCCTCGAGGTGTCCCCCTATTGAAACCTCCACGACCTCGACCACCAAAGTCA